CTGTTATTGTGTACAACATTCTCTTGGTTCTGCTCACTTCACTCAGCACCTAGGGGATTCTATAGCCTCCTCTGAACCTCCTACCTCCATTTGGAAAAAATCTGGATTGAAAAAAATGAATAAAACAATGGAAACACTGTTCATGCATTAGCACTCGGCTTGCTCAAAAAGGTTTTCTATAAGCTCTGGAACAGAAAGATTTCTATGTAAATCGATTAAAGTCAGCTCAGACAACGGAGCCCTGGTAATCACAAAGTCCTGTCAACAGCAGCAGGCTCCCTGTCTTCCGACAGCACCTTACAGTTTCCAAAGCACTTTCACCTACATATATTCTCTCATTTAATCATCACAACAGCCTGGTAGGTTGGTAGGTCAGGTAATATTTTCCCCATTCAGAGACTACATGGTAGAGCAGATAGCAAGGAGTCAGGAAGACCAGAGTTCAATTCCCACCTCTTACAGCCAGTAGACCCTAGACAAGTCCCATAACCTCTCAGAGTCCCAGGAGACTCCTAAGCTGCAGAGAAGGTGCTCACTGACTTTGGTATAGGGAAACGTTACTAGGAGCTAGCTCTCTATGCTGCTGAACCACACAGTGAGGCCATCTCAGAATAGGGAGAAAAGGAAAAAGAAACATGAGCAGCCTGGGGCTCAAAGGGGTTCCTTAACTTGCCCCTAACCTTACCCAACTAGTGAGGGGTAGAACGAGGAATGGCAGCCAGGCCCTCCAGCTCCCGGCACTGAGCCAGGCTGCCTCCTTCCTGAAAGTCTGGCCTCTTAACAGTGCAGTACAGGTTTCCAGAAGGCCTCAAAGTACGGCCTTTGCATCATTACAAATCAACATCCTTATGTAAATAAATCTAACTAACTGTATACACAAAATAGGGCTTCATTTGCAGATGAGGTGGTGGCTGATGAGCCAGAAAAAGTGACCAAGCTCTCAAAAGAGCAATAAATATTCTCCTGGAATACCATTATCAATAACTGAAAATGCATACCAGAAGGAATTCTTTAAATTACTAAGACAATCATACCATCTACCCAGGAGACATTTGAGTAAACCTTTTTTTAGAGTCAGAATATGAATGGAATTTATGTAAGGAAGAATCATTAAGCACTGGGTCTCAGTATTTACAGGACAAACAAATGTACAGAATGTCAAACTTTGTGAGAATACCACAACTTGGTTTGGAGGCTTTACAGAAACAGAAATGGGAAAGGACACAAGTCTTCAGGGGCTAAATTACTCTTTGGGGGCTAGTAGAGTATTATTTACTCCTTGGGGCAGAGGAAGCAGATTTGCCATTGGTAGCTTAGACTCACAGAGGCCTATATGGGTCACAAAGTGCTCTGCACATGTCCTTATTTGCACTTCTCAACAATCCTTGCTTAAGGTAGGCAGGTAAAGTCATACCATACCCATTTTACAAATGAGGAAATAGAGGCTCAGCAAGATTAACATTTGCTAAAGGTCACACATTTAGTGAATGGCATCAGTAGGATTTGAACTTGGGCTTTTTGACTCCCTGTCCTGGGCTAGATCCAGCCTATGTGGGTTTGCATTTGTTGACTGATTCCACACATTCTAAATCCAGCTCCCTAGCAAGTTTATCACTGGTCAGAACAGGGTCAGGCAAAAGGCCATCAGATTTTCTTCAGCGGAAAATAATCACCAATTTTATAGGAAAAATAAGTCAATGCAAATATCCAATTGGGTAGTTAACATAATCTTTGTACGTGAAAGTCAGTGCATTCATTCAAAACTCTAACCACCAAAGGAACTGTGGGGTTTCTACATGCAGTCTGTCTTTTAGTCCCCTCTGGCCCAATGACTGACAAAACCACTCAGAGTCTGAAATTTGGTTAACACAGGAAACACTATAATGGTTTAAATTTCATTATTATGATAGCATAAACATACTCTCAGGTAGTAATGACGACAATAACTCTATGTAACCTTGGGCCATCTCTAATTCTCTCTGTGATGCCCATTTCCCTATCTGTAAAAGAAGTTTAGATTAAATGATTTTTAGAGTCCCTTCACATTTAATATTTTATGCTTCATTTAATGTTTATTTATATGTATTTAACATATTTAATATTCTAAGATTCTAATACAGTTGTACATTCATCACCTGTTATTTCAAAGACGTTAAAAACCTTCTGTCCTCAAAATGGAAATTTTCCTAGATCTTTGTTTCAGGAGGGAAAGTGGCACTATAACCAAGTTTAGAAGGGACAGGCTACAGGGAGTATCCATCCTACTTGGAAAAGATCAGTCAGAAGCTGGTGAACTCCAAGGAAAGGGTCACATCTGAATGCTACTATGCCACTTCAGAAACTGGCGAGAGTCACACAAAACACCCACCTTCACTGTGCCGTCATCACTGCCAGTGCAGACTAGCTGGGGGCCCCTCCTGGCAGGGTAACAGGAATTCACAAAGGAAGTGTGCCCCTTCAGCCTCTTAATTCTCTCTCCGGTCTCACTATCCCACACAGCAACAGTCTTATCTGTGGAAGCTGAGAAGAGCATGCTGAACAGTAGAGGATGAGACAGAAGAAAACAAAGAAAGAGAAAGGTTTAGGTTAAAAAAGACACTAAATGATTTTATTCTGTCCGTTTGCCAGCCCTGTATAGTAGGTACAATAAATCATACAATATTTAAAATATAATAAACTGCTAGGTGACAACTGGTTTGAAAAAGATCTTGGGGAGGGTGAATGGACCCTAAGTTTAACAAGTCAACAATGTGACAAAGTAGGTTTAAAATGTAATGTCATTTTTGGCTACAGGAAGGGATGTAGAGAACCTAGCACTAAGGAGGCAATAATCCAGCTGTATTCAATCCTTAGGTAGAAGGAGTTTGTTCAGTTCTAGGAAAAATACACCGATGATCCAATAAGCATCCAGAGGATAACCAGGTTAGCAAATGGATATGATAAAGTGGAAAAAGCAATGGCTCTGGAGGAAGAGGCCCTGGGTTCAAATTCTACCGTTTGATGCTTATACCTCTATCACCCTGGGCAAGTCAATCACTCCTCCTCCCTGGGATTTAGTTGCCTCACTGAAAAAAACAGGAGGTAGTTGGACCAGATGGCCTCTGAGGACCCTTCCCACTCCACATCTACAGTCTTATGATCCTTGACATCATGACTGAAGGGTCAGGGGTTACTCATTTAGTATAAAAGAAGAGCTGTCATGTAGAGAAGGGACTAGGCTTGCTCTTCTTGGCCCCAAGGGACAGAATTAGGAACAATGGGCAGAAACTGCAGGAGGGAGATTTCAGTTTCATATGTGGAAGAACTCCCCGACACTCAGCGCTATCCCAAATCAGAATGGCCTCCTGGGGGGCTCCCCTTCACTACACTACAGTCCTCTAAGCAAAGACTGGATGACCACTTGTCAGAGCTCCTGCAGAGAAGATTCTTGTTTAAGTACTTTGGACTAAATGGTTTCAGATGTTGCTTCTAATGCTGGAAGTTTGTGCCCTTAAAATGCTTTCCAGATTGAAACATTTACAAGGTTAGATCTGTGGTTTCCTTATTACAGGTATATCTTCCATGGCTTCTCATCACGCCTCTTAACAATTCATCCCACAGGCGAGATGCCTTCCACCAATTGTTTAAATGTTTCTCATCTTCCCTATATGACAGGTACCCCATGATATCTTTTCTATCACTTCTATGCATATCATTATTGCAATGATACTATAGTCTTATGTACAAAATGCAACTTTCCACTATGTTTTTGGTTGCTTGTCATTTTCATCCTTCTGAGATCATGATGGTTCCTTGATTCGTATCCATATAATATTACCAGAAGACTAGTGGTGCTAGAGAGATGAGCTTTTGTGGCAGAAAATGGTTTGGGATCACTGAAAACACTGCGCAATTTTCCAAATGCCATCTCCTTCTCCTAATAAATTTTGGGAGCAAAACATTGTCCATGTGCATGTCACAATCTAAATATCATGACTGTTTTTCATTTACTTTGTTTCTGCAGAGTATTTGGTTACATTAATTCCTGGTATGGCAGGAAAAGAGCTAGATTTGGAATCAGAGGATGCAGGTTCAAGGTTTAATCCTATTTCTTACTACATCTATGACCTCAGGCAAGTTAATTCCCCTCAGCTGATCTCAGTCTCCACATCTGCAAAATGTAAGGGTTAGACAAGTTCTCCAAGATTCCTTCCAGCTCTAAATCCTATCATCCTTTCACAATACTTGGATTAAGTTTTATAATGTTGCAGAGCTTGATACAATTAATACAATGTCTACTTTGAATAGGATCATTTAGAGAACTCAAATATTAAAAGAGAAGTCTTTTGGATACTGCATAGGGTATCCTTCATTATCCTGGCAAATGCTTCAAATGAGCATGTATCCTGATCGACTCATGTCAATATTTGGCAGATCATTAAACAAAAATATTTTCAAATGACCACATCTGTCATATAATCGTATGATGTTAAAGTGTGTGTGTGTGTGTGTGTGTGTGTGTGTGTGTGTGTGTAAGACTCCTTACAGAATCTTTAAGGCAGCCTTTTTTTTTTTTTAACTATATCAAATACTTTAACAAAAAAATCAAGTTCTGTGACGCTAAAACCTTGATTTTCATGAAGGACTGCCTTTATGTGCATAGATAGCACCCTCACAGATCCTAAAGGCAAGAGAAAGCAGATACATGAGTCAGTAGCTGACGTCTTCTCATTTGCTGCTTTAGGTGCAAACACTGTTTGTGATTCTTTTCTATTTTTTTTTTTAAAACCTCTTTTGAGATATGCTGGAACAATTTTCAAACTGCAGTACCTATAGCCCAGGGTGCCGTGTCTTTGGTCTGGGCCAAGCACTCTTCAGCGTCATCTTTTTAAATGCCTTCACTACCTCTCCATACAGTGAGTTAACTACAGGCACTGAATGAGGTGTTAGGAGTTTAAATGTGGCAACTCCACCATCGTGGCCCTTGAGAAAGAGACTGTTATAAAAACAATGTTCTTGGGATGATCTGATAGCTGGACCTCACACTAAGATCTTGATGGGGATGTTTTCTTAAACCCTCTTCAATGTTCTGTGATGTGACAACGTTCATAGAATTGCATGATTCTTCTTCATAATATTTTACAAAAAAGCTTGAGGTCTAAGTTGTCTTTGGTTGTCAAGCTCGCTGGCAGTCGAGGTAGTTCCTGGGCTCCTTTGCTCTTTTCCTTGAAGCACCTATTTATTATCTGTTAAACTTCTCTAAAGAGTGAGAGGCAGAGGGATTAAGAAAAATCTTTAATGAAAGGATTTGTTCTGTGAAGTTTGGATTCAAAGGACCTAGAGGGCCACATGTGGCCTTGAGACCACAGGTTCCCCACCCCTGAACTTGACCTTTATTCCTTCCCACTTTTCAGAAGGGACCATTTGTTTACTACAAAGGTAGGGTTGGAGTCACTGTAACTCTTTCTCTCTTGAGCTTGATTTCTCTTCACGTGATATTCATTTTAACTGTTCCTCAAATCAATTGATGATCTAAGTGGCCAATCACCAATAACAGATTCTGAAATGACGAAGCTTATATCCAGTCTTTTCCTGTCTATTAAAATACATTCCATTTTATTAACAATATTATCCAGCACTTGCCACATTAAGCACTTCATTTGTTCTTGAATAAAGTAGACAATGTCTACTTTTAGAATAAGACTAGCTACTCGAATTCTCTGATCCCAAACCATCTTCCCAACAAAGTTTGTACCATCTACCCCCGTGCGTACAATTTAGAGAGAAATTAAATAAAAAACAAGACAAGCTCTTCCATACTATTATATTCTTTGCAAATGAGGTTGGAGATGCAATAAGATACAATTATCTTCTAGTTTGTCTGTTTAAGCTCACAGCAGGCAAACTGAAATAACTAGTGTCCTATGAAGTGATGTTTCTTCTCAGTCTTGGGAATACAAAGACACCAGTTCTGATCAACCTTTATCAGATTAAATAGGAGAATCTGTAAGCCACAGTGGTCCCACTTGACTGCACCTTCTTTATGTTTTCCAATTTCATTTAAAATGAGAGTGTCAATATGGATTTAGGTTAGCTAATCATGTGTGTTGACTTGGGGATCACTGGGCAGAGAGAGCAAAGTTAAATTAAAGCTTATGAAAGGTCTAAAAAGGACGTTCTGCCAATCTATTACAATCATTACAGATGTGGAAGGGGGCTGTATGGTGCAAGTCTATTTTTAATTTTTGTTTCATGGACAGCTGTTGGCCAAAATAGAACAAATCTATCATCTTATGACCAATAGTCTATTGATGAGTGCCTCTATTAATTAGGCTGATCCTTGGAACACAGGCATGTAGCCTAGAAGCAGTATCATGCTGGAGGCCTTTCCATCTGGAAAGAATCTGCCAGAGCTTATACTTCACTGGCACATTCCTCAAAACCCCAGCATATCCTGCACATCAAGATGGAGCAATGACTATAGTAATCTACTGTTTGATAAGGCCAAAGACTCCAGTTTCTGGGATAAGAACTCACTATTTGACATAAACTGCAGGGGAAAACTGGAAAAGAGTATGGAAGAAACTAGGCATAGACCAATATCTTACACCATATACCAAGATAAGGTCAAAATGGGTACATGATTTAGACATAAGGGGTGATACTACAAGCAAATCAGGAAAGCAAGGAATAGTTCAGCTGTCAGGTCTATGGTGAATGGAAGAATTTATGACCAAACAAGAGATAGAGAACATTATGAAATGCAAAAAGGATAATTTTGATTACATTAAATTAAAAAGTTTTTGCACAAAGCCATTGTACCCAACATTAGAAGGGAAGCAGAAAGCTGGGAAGCAATATTTACAGCCAGTATTTCTGATAAAGGCCTCATTTCTAAAATATAGAGAGAATTGAGTCAAATGTGTAAGACTACAAGTCATTCCCCAATTGATAAATAGTCAAAAGATATGAACAGGCAGTTTTCAGATGACGAAATTAAAGCTATCTATAA